ACGGCGGTCCATGTAACCATGATTTTATTTTCTCCAAGTTCAGCACACCCCAGTAGTCGGCTGGCTTGTCACAGGGTTTTACGTGCCGCCATTTACCCACCTCCGTTTCTTCGTGAATGACAGCCAACCGGTTGGCAACAAACGTGCTGAAGCGCGTCTGTACATTTCTAACATAATAAAGGACTATAGTGGAATCAATCCAGTAAGTTACAGTCCACTCAATCGAGTAAAAACATATTTTGATCACCTTCGCTACCCTGATACTGCTAATACTGCTGCGGCCAGTTCTAGCCTGGGTATTGAGCCTGCCCTTAGGCGAGCGACCCTGGCCTTTGCGAACAGAATATTGCTATGCCTCCTTCTACCTGGCCGAGACGAGCAACCGTAGGCCACTACGCCATATCCTACCTCCGACGCGTCCGCAAAAATGTGTAACTCACTTTGCTCTCCTTTATGTATTCCTGGTATGGGACGAGGGAGTCGTATATCGCCCAGCTTGGACAGGCTCAGCCACCAGATTTGCCAGGTTTTGTGATCCGCTTCGCATGGGGTCTCATCCCAAGTAACCTTCTTTCTACACAGGTCCTGCAGCAGAATCTTGCCCGGTAGTAGCCACAGTGAGACGAACCCCATTGGATCGTAAAGGCTGGCCAACGAAGACAGAATGCCTCTGCGAGTCGCCGTCTTCTCAGGTAGCTGGAGTTGGAACAAAACTCGTCTTTCTCCGAATCCCATTGCACACCAAGTGCTCTATCTGTTGGTAACGGACTCTCCTGCAATTCACGGAGACACGGTGCCCGCTCATCAACTGGTCAGCTCACATCAGGTCAGGTTGCACAGAACTGGTAGTGGCCACAGGCCAATCAAGCGTACAGAATTCCCTCGGTGATGTGCTAACGAGTGTGCCTCCACCTCTGCGACTGATCGGTTTCTGTTTCTATCCGCAAACAGAGAGCAAGAGAGACTTTAGTTCTCACCGTTTCGTCGAGAGACTCTTACTCTGAAAGCGTGCCATATTACCCAAAAACACTTTATGCACCTAACATTCTATGCCAGGGAAAGGCTCCAACTATCTGGCGTCCAGGGCTTACCTAAAGGCTTAGACGTTTGGCTGCATAATCAGTTCCGACGGTAGCTTATTCCAATTTCCCACTATCCTATTGCCAAAGAAATGTGCTCGTAAGTTCAGCCTCGAACGTTGTTTCATAAGATTGAGTTTATGCCCACGCGTTCCTTAGTTGGGAGCCTCAGTGAAGAAGGACCCCCGGGTCTAAACTCAGCAAACTTTTCTTAATCTTAAATACTTCGATGAGGTCTCCTCGCAATCTCCTTTTCTCTAGCGTAAAAAGACCGAACGCGTACATTCTCTCTTTGTATGTTTATCCCCGCCTACCCTCAATCATCCGTGTTGCTATTCTCTGAACCCGCTCCAGACAGGCTGCGTTCTTTTCGTAGAAGGGCGACCAAGCCTGAACACAGTATTATAGGTGAGGCCTTACGATGGCTTTGTAGATGGGTTTAAATACATCTGCTTTTCTACATAACCAGGTAGCAGTGTCCACTTTCTCAACCATTTCCATACCAGTAAACGGATCCAGCCTAGAAAGCTTCATCTGTTGGAACACAACCTAATTTGGTACATACTTTTATAAGTATTGTGACCCATCTTGCCTTAATTATATACATCCGGTTCCATTTTCATCCGACTCAATTGGCTCAACGCCGTAGCCAACATGCTAACCAGGTAGCAGTGTCCACTTTCTCAACCAATTCCATACCAGTACACGGATCGCTCAAAGCTGGATCTGTGGAACGCAACCTAATTTGGTACATACTTTTATAAGTATTGTGACCCAATATTCCTTACCTC